CCCACCCCCCGACCCGGCGGCGTCCCTGTATTTTGGGTTGATGAAGGGTTTGTCAGGTCCCGGCTCCCGGGCCGGCTTCCACCGACGTGAGAGATAACGGGGAAAACGCGTCCCCGGGCGCTGGAAGCGAGCGCTGCCGGCCCGCCGGGCTCCGGCGGCGGCGGCGCCGTGCTGGGGGCTCGGGGTCGCCTCAGGCTGTCCTCAGCGGTGCTCGTCTGAGGTGGCAGTCACTGGTTTCCAGGCCCTGGGCGGGATGGCGGTCCGGCAGAAAAGCAGCTGGACCCGATTTCCAAACTTCCAGAAACTCTGCCGCAGCCCTCAGTAATTGCTCCCGGGGGTAATTAGCCTGACTCTTAACAATAAAAACCCAACCCTCGCTGCAAACCTGACGTGGTCTCCCACCCCCCGGATCCGTTCCAGTGTCTCTGTGCTGGTTCTGCAGCCCCGCTCCTGCATGGCGGCCCCTCAGCCGCCACAAAACAGCCCCGGACCCCTCTGCCCCAGGCCGGCCGGCCGGCCAAGCTTGTGCTCACAGGCATGTTTTTCCCCTTCTTTAAACATAATCCTGAGGCTTTGCGGAGCCCTTGCCCGTTTGGAGCACTTTTTGTGGATCAGGTGGGTAGGCGGGGGGCCGCAGCATGGGGGGAAAAAAAGCCATTTGCAGCATCTCCGAGAGTCTCGTGGGCTCACGGGGACTTAGAAAATCGGTGACGGGTGGGTTTCAGGTGTAATGCCTCGGGGGGGCTGCTGGCCCACCAGATCCTGCGCTGCTGCTGCCTGGGATTTTGAGATGGAGAGCTTCAATGTCATGGTGGCCTTCCCTGTTTTTTTCCAAAATCTTTCCCGTGTTTCGCTCCCTGGCTCAGAAAGCTTCTCAGGGATCACGCATGGTGCGTTCAACCTCCAGGGAATGGGCACAACCTCTCACCGCAACCACCATGGCTCGCTCCAGCCCTGCATGTGAGCAGGTAGCTAAGAGCATCAAGGGTTCCCATTGCCCGAGCTGCGGGTTTCGTTTCTCCGCCCAGACCAAATGCAAATGCAAGTGGCTCAGGAATTAGAGCTATTTTGGTGGAAGGAATTTGTGTCAGATCCTTCTGAACAAGACTGGGAGCTGGGCAAGGAGCAGAGAGACGTGTCAGGAAAAAAGCATCTAGCCTTGGCGTGGGGCAGACCTGCAGCAGGGGATCCTGAGAAGGGCTGGGGATGTCAGGCAGCGCCTGGGGACAGGAATAAGGATGTCTCCCATTTCCCCTGTGCTTAGGAAGCAGGACTTCCTATGGACTACCTGCACAAATGGAAATGTTTCAAAGCAGCACCTGCCATTTCAATACAACTTAGCATTTTTGGACAGGTTGTTCAGTTCAAAAAGGGAGGCAATAAGGCAGACCATGGGGAACCAGGCTCCTGGCATGGAGCTGGAAATCATTCGGTCATCTCTGCTCATCTCTGCACACAAATCAGTTCATGTGCAACTCCTGGCACTTGGATTTATATGAAAGTCTCCCTCTTAATTACCATTTCAGTGGGAGGTCTTGTACATCCTGTTTCACCGAAAAATAAGGGTGTTGACTCGCAAACGCAGGTAGATGAAAGCCAAAAGGCTGAACTGGTTACTCCCCAGCTGTTTTTCGCTTTGCAAGGACTGCCACTCCCGGGGCCTGGACGGCTGAGCTGCGTGGTGAGCCGCCCTGAGCAGCCGTAGGCAGCAGAGCAAGGCCAATACCGCGCAGACTTTGGGTTGCTTAAATACAGGCATCTAGCATGCCGCATCTCCCAGAGTTTACAATTTTTCCTTGCTCAGCTATCAGGTCTCCATGAGATACTTAGCCAGCGTTCATGGAGCGATGCCAGCTCCTCGGCAGTGCCAGCGCTTTGCAATGGAGCAGCCCGATGAGTATTTTGTTCGCTTTGGAAAAACCATGCACTCAAGGAGCAACATCGTGCACAGGTTGTGGTCACCCCTTGGGGTGGCTGAGGCCTCAGGATGGCACAGCACCCACACCTCAACACCCTCACACTCCAGGTCAGCACCTCCATGTCACGCTGCTTTGGGCTTCAGT